GGGAAAAAACAGCTTTTGATGCTTGAATGAAAGCAATAACATGAAATAGTAAGTGTTCCAGTCAGTTTGATGTGCCCCTGTAATTAATGTCATATGAACAACTAAAGGTGTAAAAGTACAGGAAAGAGGATGTGGTGTGGGGGTTCTGAAGCGGAAGGGGGGGGGCTTTAGGAGTCATAAATCATGTCACATCTAGTTTGGCAGATGCTGCATTTTATATTCTCTTTCTTAGAAATAAAGGTAGCAGGGATAGGCAATGCTTTTCAAATATATGATTAGTCGATTTTAAAAAACTGCTCTTTAAAAACAGAGAGCCACATGTCTGTGCAAATTCTCAGTCATCCAGGTCATAGTATGCTGAAAAAACTTAGAAGAAGGCATCTGGACGTAGTTTTAGGTAGAAGATGTTTCATCTCTCATCCAAGAGGATTCATCAGTTCTGCCTGACTGGTGGTATTTATCCCACATGGTGGGAAATCACCACAATCCTTCCGGCAGACAAAGGCAGATGTACAGTAGTCCTAAACCCAGCTGACTGTCAGACCAGAGTTTCTAACCTCCTCAGTGACACCACCACCTATGAAGCACTGAAGAGGGACCCCACCAGTGGCTACAAGAAGAAGGTTATAGACTGTTTACAGAAGCTGGAAAAGGAGGGAGTTATTGACCGGTGACTATATTAGAGACTATACCCCAGGGAAGCCATCCCTTACACTTATGGCCTACCCAAAATACACAAGGAAGGAGCCCCACTCACACCCATTGTCAGCAGCATAAACTCTGTGACATACAACATAGCCAAACACGTGGCCACCATTTGGGCTCCTTTGGTGGGAAACATACAACACTACATAATAAACTCTCAGGATTTCATTAAGAAAGTCAGACAACTGTAGCTGGACCATGGTCTCATATGATGTCTGTCTGGACTGTCTGGTTTGACTCAGCAATCAAACAGGGACAAGAACAGACTCCAGCGAACAGTCAGTTCTGACTGTCCAGCCAAGACAACCAGGCACAAAGACAGTTTCTTCCCCCGGGCCATCACTATGATGAACACTTGACCTACAACAGTATGACTGGACAATAATCCTCAGTGCAATACCTGTAAGCATATACCTTGTACATATCCATGCACTGAATCCAGACTATATAAATACAGTATGTACAGGTCTCTATTTATAAGTACTTTACTCTTATTGTTTTTATCTCTTTTCTTAATGCACATTCCCTTGCTTGTTGACATGTATGTACCCATTGAGAGCCCCCGTACCAGAGTCAAATTCCTTGTGTGTCTGACACATCTGGCCAATAAAGCTGATTCTGATTCTGATGTCACTATCCTTTTTCACATGCATTCCCACCACAAAAGCAGTCAAGGTGATGAAGACAAGACTGCTGAGGGATGACACACTAATCAACAGGACTAACCTCACCCCAGACCAAGTATGCACCCTTCTGGGACTCTGTTTAAACACTACCTACTTCCAGTTTAAGGGTTACATTTATAGGCAGAAACACGTTTGTGCTATGGGCTCCCCTGTGTCTCCAATAGTTGCCAACCTTTACATGGAAGAATTTGAGGACAAAGCCCTGTCTTCCTTTGATGGTACAGCTCCCAGCCACTGGTTCCGCTATGTGGACAAGACCCAGGAGGTGGAGGCTTTCTTCAAGCATATCAACTCTGGATATCAACATCAAGTTCACTCGTGAGGATGCCAAAGATGACTGTCTGGCCTTTTTGGACTGTGTGGTCCACATAGGAGGAGACCGAAGCCTTAAGGTAGAAGTATACTGGAAACCTACACACACGAACCAATCAACTACAACACAAACTGGGAGTTATCAGAACCCTAAATCACAGGGCCCAGGAAGTGCCCACAACTGCAGAAGGGATCAAGAAGGAGGAACTACACATCCAGAATTCCCTTAAGATTTGTGGATAGCCCAAGTGGGCCTTCACCAAAGCAGTGAAGAGGCCCAACACCAACAGGGAGAAACCCGAAACAAGAGGGGATAACACTGTCATCCCTTATGTGGCTGGTTTATCAGAAAAACTGGAAAGGTTTCTCCACAATCAGAATATCCCAGTCAACTTTAAGCTAGAGAACACCCTTCAGCAGAGACTGGTCCAGCCGAAGAACAAGACACCCAGGCACAAACAGAATGATGTGGTGTATGCAATTAAATGTAGTCAGGAGTGTAATGACCTGTACATTGGGGAAACAAAGTGCATGGCCCAACACAGGAGGGCCAACGCAAGTGGACCAGAGTCAGCAGTCCACCTCCACCTGAAGGACAAAGGGCATTCTTTTGAGGACAGTGAAGTCTGGATGTTCACTAGAGAACACCGCTGGTTTGAGAGAGGAATCCAAGAAGCAACTTTTGTCCAAATAGAACACCCCTATCTGAATAGGGTTGGTGGACTCAGACACAACTTGTCATCCATCTATAACCCTGTTTTGAAATCTCTACCCAAACAGTTCTACCCCAATTCACACCAGGACAATAGGCGTTGATCCACATGTGAGGGTTCAAAGACAGGTAACAACTCTCACCGATACCAGGCCCTAACAACTCAGTCGTTAGACACTGTTGGCCATCGAAGGACTGAAACACCACCCAGTGGGATAAATACCTCCTGCTCACCACCAGTCAGGCAGAACTGATGAAGCCTCTTGGATGAGAGGTGAAATGTCTTCTACCTAAAACTATGTCCAGATGCAGTTCTTCTAAGTTTTTCAACAACAGAGAGCCACTGTTTTCCCTTGCTTTTACTGGCACTTTGAAACAACACGATAACAAGATCAGTATATCATATTACTTCAGATACAAATACAAACAACATGCAGAGACTACAGCTATCAAGAAAACAGTCACGATGCGACTCGATAAACTGTATGGTGATAATGATTGTGAGCTGTGCAGTCATTTTTCCTACAAAATAAGAGCCAGGAAGTTTGAGATGGATCATGACAAGATTGGTTATAATTAGGGCTGGGCAAGTTAACGTGTTATTTTCGCGTTAACGCAATACTTCATTAACGCCGGCAATTATTTTATCGCGCATTAACACAGTATATTTTTATTATTATTTTGAAAGTCCGTTGCTTACTGGCTTTGAATACACATACAGACAAACCATGGGTAACAGGAGGGGTGGGATGTTGATCAGTGCTGGCTTGAGATGGGCGTCATCACGCGTCTTAACCAATAAGAGCATTTGGGGTGGGTGTAAGACCGCTGCAGCGCTCACGTGACCTTGAACTGAATAGAACTGGCTCAGACAGAAAAATGGTGAAAGGTAAAGGAGTTTTACATGGACATTTTCAATTTAAATCTCTTCCGCACTGCGGAGTTAATAGAACCAAAGTCATTTGTAGCTAATGCAAAGCTGAATTTTCTTATCACAGGAGTACTTCGAGTCTGAAGTATCACTTAAATGCAATACACACCGTTGGTGCCAGCAAATCACCCACCGAAACAAACAGCGGAGGGAGGCTTCGGCAGACTATGTTGGATGTAGCGTGTGGGAGAAGTATAGATAAACAAAAGCAAGACAAGCTAACAAATGCCATAGCATGTATGAGCCTTGTTTGATATGCCTTGATATGAGCTTGATTACATTGTGCTGCTACCGTGTAAAAAGCACCTTATTTGTTTAAAGTGTTTGCAAACCAAATGTTATTGCACTTTTGTTCATATAGTAGTACTTTAAAAATACAAGTGCACAATACACAACTTTTGAATTCATTATTGAATGCTGCTCATATCAATGCAGTTAATCTCAGAAAAATCATGCAGTTAACGCGATTAAGGATTTTAGTCGTTGCCCAGCACTAGTTATAATTTTATCCAGACTTAAAGATCCAGTCTGCGCTTGAACATTGTTCAGTTATATATGTTGCTTTTCATTTAAATTTTATGACACTGGCCATTCTGTCTTTACATGATATAAAAACATGTTCTGTGTTTCAGAATTTGTTGTTAAATTTTCCCACCTGCACACTGTGCTATTTAGGTAGAGCAGAAGATTAGTTGAAGTACTAGGCCTATATAATCCAGATCATATGTGTTTGATGACATGAATTGATGTCACATTGTTGTTGTTGTACAGATTTGGTCCCCAGTATTGAATGTTACAAATACAACAACATCAGGCCTCCATACACCTACGCCTACTTGATAAGATGGGTGAGTTAAATGATTAGGTATTTGATTATTTGTGAATGTGATCTTTTTATGGTTGTTGTGCTTTCACTGATTTCACTTCACATTTTTTTGAACTGTGTTTTTAGAACTTTTCATGGCAAATCTTTAAAGAATTTACATGGCTGGAATAACTTGACAAAAACTTAGATTATGTTAATCCATGACCAAAGAAGTCCTTTTGAATTAAAGGTCAAACCTCAATTTTAAAATAAAATTTCTGATTGTTGTTAACAAAAAATTATAAACATTAGAGATGTCCTGATCTGATACTAAGTATTAGTATCTGTGCTGTTCTGACAGATTTCAGAGGATCAGTATTGGGCAGAATAAAGCCAATACAATTCTGATCCTTATTTACAACTATAGTCCTGTATTTGAGCAGACTCAGTTGCGCTTTAACACACTGCTATATTAATCAGTCCAGCTGTCTACATTGTAGGGCTGCTCGATTATGGAAAAAATCATAATCACGATTATTTTGGTCATGATTGAAATCATGATTATTTTACACGATTACTCATTGACCTTGGAAATATGTTGCATTTATTGAGCAGAACAGTGAAAAACAGATTAAGACAGATAAAACAGATAAAGGCAAACAAGACCAACAATGTAGTGCACTTCCACAACTTTTTTTAAAAACAAGTAATAAATAAAATATAAATTATAAATAAAATAATAAATAAATTGGTCCAAAATAAGTTTGCTCACGTATGTGCATTAACAAACTGAAAAATTCTAAACATTTTACAACATTCTACATTTTAAACATAATTAACAGTAGTAGAAGTACTCTGCTTTTGATACTTCATTAGCCACTTCTGCACAGCATTTTTCAAATAAAGCAGGCAGAGCAACTCTCGTGAAATGGTGTCGAGATGGCAACGCTTGTCCAGAGTATTTATCATTTTTCTGAATCCTTCGTTCTCGACCGTGCTAATAGGGCGCATGTCTTTGGCTAAAAAGTATGCAACGGCATCTGTTATTTTTTTGGGCCTTTCTGAGCTGGATGGATACAAAGTTGCACTGAAGAGCGTGTTTTTAATTGATGACTGTGTTGCGGAGGATGTTTGTCCTTCTTTCTGTGTGTTTATTAGTTGGTCATATGTCGGTCTCTGTTTGAATTTTAAATGGTTGAAAAGATTTGTGGTGTTACCAGCCGGTGCCGACACAACCGTGTAGCCAATCTATGTACTATGTTTTTGATCCATGTGCGCTTCTTCGAATGCAAAATGTTCCCAGACAACAGAATTTCTTCTACCTTTTTTGTTGACCAAACACTTCTGTGGCTGCTCTTTTTCTGCCATCTTCCCTCGTGCTGATTTTTAAATGTGATCAGATACGACATACGTAAGGGGAAGGGTGAAAGTGAAAGTGCGGATGCGCGGACGCAGGCCAAAATAACTTTAAAAAACGGAATAATTGTTTTTTCTCGATTACACCATTTTTGTGATCGTTGAGCCCCGAAATCAAATTCGAAAATTCGATTAATTGCACAGCCCTACTACATTGCCAGTGTATAGGTTGCCATACCACTCAGCCTTGACCTGAAGCCTATTTTTAGCTTCAAGTGTTATTTGTTTGGACCTATGTGCATAAACAGATTCCACCAAAACAATGAAAGCTCAGTAGTTTCAACCATAACTCTACCTAAATAGAGAAATACATCAAGCAAAAATAGCCATATCATTTGTTACTTAAATCCTACTGAACATGGCGGTTATTTTAAAGTGTGTGTATTTTTTATTTGCTGTGCTTTACCATGGATTGGATACATTATACATATACATGAAAGTGCAGCCAGTAATTCCCTCATTGTTTATTATTTGTTGGAGTTTTGGACCATAGTTTTCTCTTTTCCAAAGTGTTTCTGTAGGCTTCTTTGTGCATTTTTGTACACCAAGTGCTTCCAATGTGCGAGTAAACATGCGCCCAGTTTAGACACAAGCACAAGCCTTCTGCAATATGTATGCAAGATGTAACAGGCTGCACATGCTAGCTTTCAGTGTAGACACAATAAGTTTTATGCTTTTGTATAGTAGTGCTACAGCAGCCCCCCGCCTTTTCTTAATATAAACTGGATCGGGACATCCTTAATAAACAGTAATTAAAAGTAGACCCTGTGTGTGTGTGTGTGTGTGTGTGTGTGTGTGCGTGCGCGCACAGGCGTGTTTCAGACATCAGCATACTGGTGATTAATGTCTTGCAGTGAGGGAAATAGGATAAGGATAATCACCTATATTGGCCAAGTATGTTACACACAAGGAATTTGTTTCCGGTACAGAACCGATGGCAGCCATCTGCGGCGCCAACTCAACCGGTGCCTCTAACCATCGGGGGGGTTCAGTGTCTTGCCCAAGGACACTTCGACACGTGGACTGCAGGCACCGAGATTCGAACCTTCAACCTTCTTCAACCCTCAAATTATGACAATTCAACATAGTCAGAGTCATTATGGAGCAAATGGCACAAATGATGCTTAACTGAATTTACTGTAGTCCAATTGTTACAACAGTGGCTCATTTGTCAGTTCATCAGATGGCAATTTTAGATGTAACATGTCCCTGTGTGGTTCTCATTATCTGACTTTTGCAGTCTATCCTTGAGTCCCCTGAAAAACAGCGCACTCTGAATGAGATTTACAACTGGTTCACTACCATGTTTTTCTACTTCAGAAACAACACTGCTACATGGAAGGTATGAACTACTTTAAGTAAACATTTATGATAAATGTGGTTAAATTTCACTTCACATAGAAAAACCACAGTCTTTGTGGTTTAGTAATGTGTTTAAGTAGTATTAATATTATAAGCAATATAATACAGTATACAGACAGAATGTCAATTAAAAAGATTGTATGTACTTTCTATTAGAACAAAACACCTTGTTCCTATGACAAGTGATTTTTCCCTTTCTATTCAGAATGCGGTGCGTCACAACCTCAGCCTACACAAGTGTTTTGTGCGAGTTGAGGGAGGAAAGGGAGCTGTGTGGACAGTGGATGAAAAAGAGTACCAGAGGAGAAAGGGGCAGAAGTATCAAAGGTATTCTTACAAAATACACACATGGAACCTGTTCTTTGCTTTTTTTCAGAATTCAGTATGGAGACAAGTGTAGATATTTGTGCCTTGAAGTGCCTGTTTCTTCAGTCAAAGTGACCCCCCCATACCAGTCAGAGCGTGCAAGCAAGAGGAAAGCATTAAAATATATTTCCAAGTTAGTAAGAAAATGAAGAGAAAAGGAGTGGTAGAGAAGGAAAGAAAAACTTACCCCTTATTTCTACTGGGTGTGGCTGAATTGTGTTCCATCTGGGACACAGTTTGATCAGTCCTCTGCTGGGCTTTATCCCCTACTGAATGCAGATGCAAAGCAGCTCATTATGGTGCTTATTTTTTGTGTAGGCTAATTTTTCCTTGTTTTTGAGCTTCTGCAATGGGAAGGCTTCATATTTAAATGGTTTCTTTTTTGTCAGTTTTAATTTTGTTTGTTGTTGTGCTGTAGCCTACAGTTGAGTTAATGGTTAGTCTACATTTACAGTGCCTATAAAAAGTATTCACCCCCTTGGATGTTTTACCTTTTTATTGATTTTATAAATCAATCGTGGTCTATATATAATTTGGCTTTTTGGACAAAACAAATTACCAAAAAAAAAAACTCTTAGTCAAAGTGAAAACAGGTTTCTACAAAGTAATGTCAATTAAATAAAAATATGTACAGTGGAACCTCGGTTTTCGTATGCCCTACTTTTTGTACGATTTGATTTTCAATGACTTTTTTTCGTCAAAATTTTGTCCCAGTTTTTGTACATCCACTTGGTTATCGTACAGTTGATTGGTCGGTCACTAGTCCGTACCAAACTTGTCCGTCTGCCCACGTGACTCCGCCACTCATTTCCCGGAATCGAGCGCCCACACAAAGCATCCCATATGTTCGAGACTCAGTCTGCCATTGTTTTTTGTGCTTGTTGTGACTACTAAATAAACCCCAAAGTAACTCCGGATAGTGCCTTGATACATGAAGTGATTATGGAGGGGGATTCCCCTTCCAAACAATAACCTTTCCTCCTCCCTCTCCCCTCCTTGCTGTCTTCCATACGCCAACAAGAGTCTTCAATAAAGGTGAAAGTGATGTTAAATGTTCATTTATTCATTTCATTAGTCATTTACATTTATTTATCATTGTTTTCTGTATGTAAAAATATAATTATTGTCTATAAAATGTATCTTGTGTTAATATTTTTGGGTGTCTGGAACGGATTAATTGGATTTACATTATTTCTTATGGGAAATATTGCTTCAGTTTTCGTACATTCGGTTTTAGTCAGACTTTTTCAAACAGATTAATCACGAAAACCAAGGTTCCACTGTAATGGGAAACAAGTGACTGGATAAATATTCACTCCCTTCAAGCCAGTATATACAGTCTTATGCAAAAGTTTTGCACCTTTGGTTGCTATCACAGCACTGAGTCTATGTGGATAGGTCTCAATCAGGCTTGCACATCTGGACAGTGCAATTTTAGTCTATTCTTCTCTGCAAAAAGAGTGTCAGATAGGGTGATCAGTTTGAAGTTGGAAATTGAAGGGGTAATGTTGAATGTAATCGGTGGTTATACTCCACAAGTTGGGTGTGAGTTAGAAGAGGAGAGATTCTGGAGTGAGTTAGATGAGGTGATGGAGAGTATTCCCAGAGGTGAGAGAGTGGTGATTACGGCAGCATCGGATGGTGAAGTACGTCAGAGTAGTTCAGGACATGTATGAGAGGAGTACGACAGTAGTGAGATGTGCTGTAGGTCAGACAGAGGAGTTGATCGGCTTTGAGTCCCTTCTTATTTGCTATGGTGATGGACAGGTTGACAGATGAGGTCAGACAGGAATCTCTGTGGACAATGATGTTTGCAGATGACATTGTGATCTGTAATGAGAACAGAGAACAGTCGGAGGTCTGCTCTGGAAAGAAGAGGAATGAAAGTCAGTCATGGTAAGACAGAATACATGTGTATGAACAAGAGGGAGGGAAGTGGAACAGTGAGGTTACAGGGAGCTGAGGTCAAGAAGGTGCAGGTTATATTGGTAGAAGGATGTTTGGAGAGTGTAGGAAAGAGGTGAAGAGGTGAGTGCAGGCAGGTTGGAGTGGGTGGAGAAAGGTGTCAGGACTGTTGTGTGACAGAAGAGTGTCAGCAAGAATCAAAGGAAAGGTGTACAAGACAGTAGTGAGACCAGCTATGCTGTATGGGTTAGAGACTGTAGCAGTGAGGAAAAGACAAGAGGCAGAGATGAGGATGTTGAGGTTCTCTTTAGGAGTGACCAGGATGGACAGGATTAGGAATGAGCACATCAGAGGGACAGCTCAGGTGGCCCCTAAGCTCTGCCAGGTTGCATGGGGATTGGGCGTGAACAGCCCTTTTCAAGTCCAGCCACAAATTCTCTAATGGATTGAGGTCTGGGCTCCAGAACACTCACCTTGTTGTCTTTAAACCATTTCTGTGTAGCTTTCGCTGTATGCTTCAGGTCATTGTCAAGCTGGAAGATAAATCTTCTCCCAAGCTGTAGTTCTCTTGCAGACTGAATAAGATCGTCCTCCAGGATTTTCCTATATTTTGCCGCATTCATTTTATCTTCTACCTTTACAAGCCTTCCAGGGTTGGCTATCGAGAAGCATCCCCACAGCATGATGCTGCCACTACTGTGCTTCTCAGTGGGGATGGTGTGTTTGTGGTGATGTGCAGTGTTTGGTGTCTACCAAACATAGCGTCTTGTCTGATGGCCAAAAAGCACCATTTTAGTCTCATCAGACCAAAGAACTTTCTTCCACTTGACCATGGAGTCACCCACATGCCTGTTTACAAACTCTAGTCAAGATTTAATATGAGTTGTCTTCAGTAGTGGCTTTCTCTTTCCCACTCTCCCATGAAGCTTTGACTGGTGAAGAACCCAGGTAACAGTTGTTGTATGCAGAGTCTCTCCCATCTTAGCTGCTGTAGCTTGTAACTCCTTCATAGATGTCTCTGTGGCCTCGCTCACTAGTCTCCTTCTTGAACAGTCACTCAGTTTGTGAGGAGGACTTGATCTAGGCAGATTCAGACATGTGCCATATTCCTTCCATTTCTTGATGATGGATTTAACCGAACTCCTGAGGATGTTCAGTGCTGTGGAAATTTTTTTGTATCCAATCCCCTGACATATACTTTTCAATAACCTTTTCTCTGAGTTGCTTGGAGTGTTCTTTTGTCTTCATGGTGTAATGGTAGTCAGGAATACTGATTAACCAGTGACTGGACCTTCCAGAAACAGGTGTCTTTATACTACAGTCACTTGACACATTCACTACACTCTGGTGAGACTACTAGCACCAATTGGCTGGACCTCTGTTGAATTAGGTCCATCATCTTAAAGGGGGTTAATACTTATGCAGTCACTTATTTCCTATTATATATTTTTATTTAACTGACATTACTTTATAGAAACCTGTTTTCACTTTGACATTAGAGGTTTTTGGTAATTTCTTTTGTAAAAAAGGCCAAATTATATTGACCATGATTTATTTATAAACTCAAAAGGGTAAAACATCCAAGGGGATGAATATCTTTATAGGCACTGTAATTTAATGGTTACCATTAAATTATTATGAAACAAGGATGAAAGATTTGTGGCCATTTTTTAGGTTGTTAAAAATACATTCATCCTTATAGGCTCATTATTTTGTATCTATGTTTCACATAAAATTTTGCCTTGTGTTTCTGGGAAAGTGCTATGTGATTGGTGGGTCAAGCCTTTGTCAGAAGCATCCCAGAAGTGACATCTGTCAAAAATAGACTATATTTAGCAAAGCAAAGTGGTAAAGTCAAGTCAAGTTACTTTATTCTGGCTTGTAGTACACATGGTAACACATATCAGTGTTTCCCATACAGTAACTTATATTGTATGTGGCGGGCCACCACAATATGAACATTGAACACCACATATTGATTTAAAATAGGTTAACTCTTATTTCAGTGTAGTGCTGTGCATAGCGCATGTATTCAATCTGTCCCTCTTTCTCACACACATAAACACGACTACCAGACAACGGACCGTCTGTGAACAGTTCCTCCGCCCTGTGTGTAACACAATGAATGCTCTCATTCGTGGAGATCCATCTCTTAGCAAGCTAGTAAGACTAGCTAAGCCAACGTTAGAATACAGCTATTGCCGAGGCATGCTGTTTATAGCATGGATGTATATGGATTGTGCTACAGGTAGATAAAGTTAATGCTATTTCATAAACTCAAATGCTGAATGTTTGCCCCCTCAGACACACATGGGAAAGCTGATCAGTCTGATCACTGTGATTAATGATCCAGCAGCAAGAGAGGGTCAGGAAGAAATAGCTGAAGAGAGAGATGTAGGACAGGAGGAGGGCTGTAGGAGAGCCAGCTAGTGCAGAAGGGACAGGTCAGATGAACAGCACAACAGCACAGGGGTACTATAGTATTACTATATTTCACTTTAAAAAATTATAAAACCCCCACACCCACCCCTACCACCACAAGTAGAATCACATTCTGTGGGAAACACTGCACAGACAGGCAATACAACAATACTGTATAATCATCGAGAAAAATGGTTCCAGAACCCAAGCTGTGAGTGGAAGTGAGCCCGACTATATCTAGACGGTATCTCTCAACCTCCTGCACCAGCTCAGCCTCCTTCCCCACCAGTGAGGTGACATTCCAAGTCCCAAAAACCAGAGTTGGCGTCCGAGGTTTGGGTCGGTCGGGCACTTGGCCCCGGCCACTGCCCAAAACAAAATGCACCGGCCCCCTACGGCCTCTCCAGGAGGTGGTGGGCCCACTGAAGAGTGGCTCCACGTTATGGTTTTGGGCTGAGCCCCACCAGACCCTGTGGGTATTGGCCTGGGCACCCAGTGCTCACACGCGAGTGTCTGGTCTGTCACCCAGGACCTGTTTGCCATGAGAGACCCTACAAGGGACATATAGCCCCCGACAACATAGCTCCTGGGATCATTCAGGCACTCAAACCCCTCCACCACGTTAAGTTGTCGGTTCCAGAGAGGGGGCCGAGATGGAATTAAAGAAGCTGAGTCATAAGGCGAAGTTCTCAATTTACTGGTCGATCTACTTTCCTACACTCACCTATGGGCATGAACTTTGGATCATGACCGAAAGGCTGAGATCACGGATACAAGTGGCAGAAATGAGTTTCCTCTGGAGAGTGGCTGGGCGCACCCTCCTTAGGGATGTGGTGTGGGCCTCAGTCATCCATGAGGAGCTTGGAGTAGAGCTGCTGCTCCTCCACATTCAGCAGAACCAATTGAGGTGGCTCGGGCACCTGTTTAGGATGCCCCCTGGATGCTTCCCTGGGGAAGTATTCTGGGCATGTCCCTCTGGGAGAAGGCCTTGGGGCAGACCCAGGACACGTTGAACAGACTGTCTCTCGGCTGGCCTGGGAAAACCTCTGGGTTCCTCCTGAGGAGCTAGAGGAGGTGTGTGGGGAGAGGGAAGTCTGGGAGGCTCTGCTTGGACTACTGCCCCCGTGACCCGGTCTCAGATAAAGCGGACGAAGATGGAGGGATGGGTGTCTAATCATCATACAACAAATGAAAATAATGAGACATAGGAATCTATGTTATTTGTACACTATCCCTATAACTTACAGTATTGTTCAAAATAATAGCAGTACAATGTGACTAACCAGAATAATCCAGGTTTTTAGTATATTTTTTATTGCTATATGGCAAACAAGTTACCAGTAGGTGCAGTAGATTCTCAGAAAGCAAACAAGATCCAGCATTCATGATATGCACACTCTTAAGGCTGTTATATCAATGATAGCTGTTAAGAAAAAACTATTTCTATACCAGTGTGGTATACACATTGGGACTTCAAAACATCATCCAGAGGAGAGAAGCTGAAATTCGTTGTACAAGGGGTGTATGTCATCACTCAAAATTGAGCCAGAAAAATAATGTACCTATCTGGTATACAGGGTTATTAGGTCAGGTTGTGGCACCCCAATCAACGTACTAGCCCACCTGACTAGAGAGCTGCATCTGGGACATTTTCGAAATGTGTCACAGACACACCTGCTGGAATTACAAGTATTGACTAGACTAGCAGTGATCAGCTTTGGAGACTATATCACAAACGAAACGCAACACAGCCACAAATGGTGGAAATGAGGGGTTAGGGAAGATGTGGAGGAGGTAAAGAAGGAATTTGGAATTCAATTCCATTTCAGATCAAGCAGATTAACTATCAAATATCGACAGATATTTGATGATAGATGAGTGGCTGTACTGACAGTAACATTTGTGTATGTCACACTGCATTTTTAGGGACTGTCCTGTAAAGTGGCTCACATCCTATTCGCATTACTATTCAGAGGGCACCTAAGCACCAGCAGATGGCAGCACTGAGCTGCTAGAGTCCTATATACTTGTAGTGGTATATAGAACTGCATGAAGAACTGAAGAAATCTGTTGAAATGTCTTTTATTTTCAAATGGCTTTTTAAACATTGCTGTATCATTTGTTTAATAAAGATACTTTGTATGCATACCTGGAAGCCATTTTTGTATTCCCTCATTTTGAATTTCAAAAGAAGTACTGTAAAATAAATTAAGCTATTGGTAACTGTTCTGTGTTCACTCTGATGTTACCTATTCCTTATAGTCAGTAGGTCAGACTTCTCTTGCCCAGGTTGCTGGCGTCAGTTCAATTCAATTCAACAGAATTTGAATAATTTTGTTCCAAATCATAACAAAAAATCATCTCAAGGCACTTCACATAGGAAAGTACAGTATTATAAAGAAAAGCCAAAAAAATTCCAGATCATAAAGGTAGAGAGTGTGTTATAATGTTACAAACATAAACACCAGAAGTGGAAAAAGTAAACAAAGTTTTACAGGACCACTCACAGTGAGCTCCTGCACATAGGATCTAATTTTGGTTGCATTTGGACATTATAATAAAGAGGTATAGCATTTGAAAACACTGGACCCAACCCACTCATATTATAGTAGACCGCTGTTTTCAATAATTCACATTCAGTCACTCACGTAGGTGTGTATTAATGGGTGTATTAAGGAGAATGATGCTTAATAAAGCTGTTCACACTCATAAAACCTCTGTGGTTCATTTAAGTTGGCATAATATGCTGTAGAATTTGAGGTTATTCACTCTTTGAAGGGCAAATGGCCTTGCCTTTCAAATTATGGTAAATGGTCTTATACTTGTATAGCGCTTTTCTATGCTTCACAGCACACTCAAAGCGCTTTCACACTACTTGGCCATTCACAATCCCAAACACTCATACATTCACACACCGGTGTCATCATCAGGAGCAACTGGGGATTCAGTGTCTTGCTCAAGGACACTTCGACAGGCTGACCGGGCAAGCCGGGAATCAAACCACTAATCCTCTGGTTAGGAGATGACCTACTCTACAGCCACCCCCACAATTCATAAAATTATTAATTTTATGGCCTGGTTTTATGCTTCCTTTTTTTAAAAAAAAGCATTGGTTCTGGTAGTGACATTTTAATTTTTGTTTTAGCACCAGTATGAGAAAAAACCCAAACTATACCCAACTCTACTGTTGCTCCCTGATGGATGAATGTGTATTGCATTTGCTAAGATGTAGGGCAGCCATTACTTATGTACATAAATATTTGCATGACCCTTGTATTTACATAGTTTGCATAGAGCCTGAAACAGCTGTAACACAAGTTAATAGCTGAGATGTAGGAACACTAAAAATCCAGAGTGGTCAGAAATAAACACAGACAATGAAAAAGGTTGGGAACAAACCAACAGTTTATTATCATCATTTTAACAACTTAATTTACAAGGTCACACTGAAAGAGAGCAGTGAAATTTTACCAAGAAAAACTCATACACTGTACAGCTAGGTCGAAGCTGAAGCAGGAAGTTGGTTAGTAAAATGCAATGGATTATAATTACAGTAGACAGCTGTGATCATAATTTGTTCATCTTCATTCTCTCCTTTATGTTTGTCTGACCTGAAGCTTTGTTTCCAACCTGTCTAATCACCTGACTGCTAATATAATATAACAGTCATGAAAAGGCTTGGGTCTTGTACTTTTGAATACATTGTTTGTTTTATTTCATGAATTTTAATTTTGAAAACCCAGTAGCTCTGTGCTCTTTTGAATTAAATAACAGATTTCAAACTTTGGATTGGGATTTTCATCTTGGAAAAGTTTGTCCTGTTCTCATAAAAAAGCAGATCAGAAATTTCCGCTTCAGCCAAAAATATAAATTGATTTAAAAATCTATACAATTTTCCACAAATAACTGTTACATTGACAGCAGTCCCATGTCAGAACAGGTACTTTCGACAAGAGTCCGACCCACACCGACACTCTACTCGTATCCTCTTCTTCGGAGAGCTGGGAAGCCCTGCTAGACTGAAACTGGAGTCCATCTTGGTGCTTTCTGTGTCAACTGGGTCAACTGGAAACAAACAAAAGTTGGGTTGGAAAGGGCTCAAACAAAAAACAAACCTAACACAAACACATATAAACTGTATGTATGTACTTTGTGTGTATGTTTACATTCAACATATGCAATATAGTGGCAAGAAATATTAAGTGAACCATTTGGTAACCCCAAAAACATGATCTGATCTTCATCAGTCACAAATTAGACAAACTCAATGTGCTATAATTGTTCATGTCTTTATTGAACATGGTTATTACACATTCCAAGTGCTGTTGGAAAAAACGCTTGGATTTTTACAAGCCTGAGAAGCTTAACTGTTAACCCCCCTACCCCTTTGTTCAATAAATGCAAATAAGGCTAGGATTAATTTATTCATGCCCACAGCATGCTTTGTTATATTACCAGCTGTTTATATTAACTTTGATTGTATGTTTTGATCATGCTTATTTAATGCTTGCTAATGTCCACTGTAAGGTATTCATCTTCTTCTTCTTTCGGCTGTTCCCGTTAGCGGTCGCAAAAGCAAATCATGTTTCCACCTAACTCTATCCTCAGCATCCTCTACTCTCACCCCAATTAAGTTCATGTCCTCTTTTAGCACATCCATACATCTCCTCTTTGGCCTTCCTCTTGACCTATTGCCTGGCAGCTCCATCTCCAACATCCTTCTACCAATATAACCACTATCCCTCCTCTGCACATGTCCAAACCATCTCAATCTGGCCTCTCTGACCTTGTCCCCAAAAAAGCCGACCTGAGCTGTCCCTCTGATGTGCTCATTTCTAATCCTGGTCATTCCTAAAGAGAACCTCAACATCCTCATCTCTGCCTCTTGTCTTTTCCTCACTGCTACAGTCTCTAGCCCATACAGCATAGCAGGTCTCACTACTGTCTTGTACACCTTTCCTTTGATTCTTGCTGCCACTCTTCTGTCACACAACACTCCTGACACCTTTCTCCATCCACTCCAACCTGCCGTCACTCGCCTCTTCACCTCTTTCCTACACTCCCCATCTCACTGGACTGTTGACCCCAAAAACTCCTGCACCTTCTTGACCTCAGCCCCCTGTAACCTCACTGTTCCACTTCCCTCCCTCTCGTTCATACACATGTATTCTGTCTTACCATGACTGACTTTCATTCCTCTTCTTTCCAGAGCAGACCTCCACCTTTCCAGGTGTTCCTCCACCTGCTCTCTGCTCTCACTACAGATCACAATGTCATCCGCA